TTTTTAAAGTAAAATGTAAATTCAATCTGCTCTGAGACGTGAGAAGTTATTTTTTTCACATGTATCAAGTTCTGTTTTCTGGCTTTTCCCATTCCTCCCTGATCTTTTGACATTAAGGCCATTTCCTTTCATGTAAGGATGTTTTTGGGTCTCCTCCTCCCCTCACCCACATGGAAAGACGGTTCTATGGTTCTATTTCCAGAATATCTCTCAAGTAATTTTGGTGAAAAGTTTTTTTAAGGCTTGCCCACTCAGGATGACTGGTCTCCGGGAATGAGCAGTCAACTAGAAATGCAAGGCAGTACAAGCAGTCAGAGGGCACGCCCCACAGTCCTCCAGCTTCTCACCTCCACCTCAGAACCTCGGCGGCAGCGCATGCCCATAATCCACCTCCCCTGAGCTTTGCTATTTCATTTACCCCCATTATTTGGGCTACTTCCTTTCTAAGGGAGAAAGAATCCATCCTAGAGAGCACCTGGGCGAGGACAGATCTGTCCTCAGAAAGGCAACCATGTCACTGAACAAAGGACTGGAAAAGACGAAAGAAACCTGCAGGCTGCGACAAGTGCTGGTCCTTTTATGGGAAGGCCGAAAAGGCAGGGATGCCTCAAGCTTGTGGATGTTCTGGGGCCATCCCAGATGAACCCCACCCCCAAGCTAATGCACCGTCTCCCGGGACCGGGACAGGGTCCTGTGAGAGCGGGTGTGTGGTTAAAGCTGCTTGGGCAGTGTTCCTGCCCACCTAGGTTTCAGACCACAGGAATGGTGAACTGGAAACTCAAATAGTGCAAATAGCTTTTTTTTTTCTGTAGCCTACATCAGCTTACTCAAAACTGCAGCTGCCAATTTAAAACAAGCTTTTTTGCAATGTTGATTATGTTTCCATAAATATTAGGACCACACTATAGCAACATAATCATTGTTGGTTTGAAACTCACATTTTGTTCTCCTAAAAGTGCTGGCTAGTCATAAGTGGAAATTTTATAATGTAATGTGGAACTGTAATTTTAATAAATAGGTTGGCTTTTTAAAAAAAATACCTTTATACTGTATGTATGTATGTATATATATATACATATATATATACTAAATATGCATATATGTGTGCATATTTAAGGTTCTCATTCTATGAGATCCTTAACGTTGTCTCCATGCTGGGACAAAAAGCCTAGTAGGTTGTGATAAAAAGATTTAAGCCTCTGAGGTTACAGGGTTCAGAATCCCCCAACCCCACCCCAGGGACCACTTCCTCCATGTAAAATGAGGAAGATGGAATCTGAATAGGGCTCTTTCCTGTTCATAAGTTCAGAAAGCATTGCCAAACTTAACTACCTTTATGGAAAGAAAATAGAAATATAACCTGTGCTAATTAGTCCTGTGTTTGTGCCTTGCCCTGTGTAGCCATTACAGATACAAAGGAAGAAAGCTTGGCTTCTGCCCTCTATGAGCTCATGATTTAGTGGGGAAACTGCCACAGAACTGATGATACAGTGTCCCAGGGTATGGAGTTACTAGAAGGGTGCAGTGTGGCTGGCAGAATTGGTAACTGAGGAGTTGAGGCTTGAAAATGCCCAAGAAGTTTGTCCAAGTGGAGATATGTCCAAGGATCTGTTGTAAGTGCCTATAATATGTAGGCAGTAACTGAGGCTATGGAGAAACTGGCCCGAAAAGGGCAAGTAGAGGTGTTTCCAGGCAGAAATCAGAGACTGACTTACCATGTTCTTTTTTTTTTTTTTTGCTACCAGGGATCGAACTCTGGACCTTGCACTTTTGAGGCAGGCAGCAGAACCACTGAGCTAAATCCCTGGCCCCTCTTAACATGTTCTTATTACCCTCCATTTGTTTGTCCCACATTGGGGATGCAATTTAATTTCCTACCTCTAAAACATGCATGGGAGCACACCTTAGCCCAAGACTGCAGAAATGGGTGTACTCTCTGTCCCAGCAACTCCAAATGTTTTCAGTCTGGCCTACAGTCAAAGTAAAATGAGAAATGGAGGCCAGGGGATGCTCCCTTACCAACTTGGTCATTTGTGGATGGAAGGCAGAAGGGAACTTGGTAATCCATGCCTTCATCAAAAACTTAACACCACTGCCCACATTCACATCTAGGTGACCCAGAAAAATAATTACTAAAATACCAAGTCTTTGTGAGTTTGCAACAGTCAGCGCTCAACAAACGTTTCTTGGGTGCCCAATTTTTCTGAGTTGATGTGAACATTAACATCTCTTGCAGTGCTCTGATTCCCATTGGCTGTGCGGAGAGCATTCTCTTGCTCCCATAACAGCTTCTCCTTACAACACTGCAATCATCAACCCTCTTCCCGTCTACCTGGTTGGTTAGACTGGCTTCTGGGGTGGGAGGTAGAGTGGGGACACTGGGCTTTATTCAAAAATGTTCACTTTATGGTTGGTGGTTAACATGTAAGGCTCTACATTACCAGGGAACTATATAAACAAAAAAATAGGGGAAAAAAAGATTCCAATGGTGTCCCCAGGGGAAAATCCCAAACAAAATAGACATGACCTGTGTGAGAGAGGCCTATGGAAAACATTAACCTGGAAGTGGGAGTGTAGCTCAATGGGAGCCTTTGCCTAGCATGGGTGAGGCTCTGAGTTCAATCCCCAGCACTGCAGGAAAGAAACTCCAACCCACACTTTGAGATTTCACTATTCAGTAAAATTTCTGAAAGATATTCCATCAGTTTATGCATTTAGAAACAAGCTACAACCACACACACACCAAAAAAAAAAAAAAAAATCTCTTGTCAAAGTTTTTTTTTTGGTACCGGGGATCGAACTCGGGTCCTTGCGCTTGCAAGGCAGGCGGTGGAACCACTGAGCTAAATCCCCAGCCCAAAAAAAATCTCTTTGTTTGGCAGTACTGGGGACTAAAAACAGTGCCCTGGCATGGAGCTACATCACCAGCCCTTTTTTATTTTTAAATTTGAGCCAGGGTCTCACCAAGTTGCCCAGGCTGGGCTCAAACTTGCAATCCATCCTGCTTCAGCCTCCCAGAGTGCTAGGGTCACAGGCATAGGCACTATGCCTGGGTTGGTTTCTGTTTTTGTTTTTTGGTATCGGTGATTGAACTCAGGACCTTGCGCTTGCAAGGCAGATGACGTGCCACTGAGCTAAATCCCCGGCGGTTGTTTTTTGTTTTTATGAGAAACTATTTTGACACTAAAAGAGCAGAGAGGAAAGGAATAGGATGGAATATAATTTTTTAAACCACTTAGTTTTGCTTTATTAAAGTCACAGTGTTGTCCTTATTTTCCTCCTATTGCTGCTGACTCAGCACCGCCCTGCTCAGCAGATAGGCATGTGAGCGGCTCACCAAAATGAAGTCAGGTGAACGAAGAGACCAAGCACAGCCCTGTTGAGAAGAGTGGACGTGGCAGTGTGCCATTTCTTCCAGATGAATGTCCTGGTTGAACACAATTCTAATCAAAACCCCAGCAAAAAGAATATCCAGACAGAATGATCTGAGTCTACCTTGAAGAATAAACAAGAAAGTGTAGCTAACAAAAATTAAGAGGGTAGTTGGAAAATTTCCTTATTAGTAAAATATATACATGTTTTGTTCTTGGTTTTTTTGAGACAAAGTCTCGCTATGTAGTTCAGGCTGGCCTCAAACACGCAGCGATCCTTCTGCCTCAGCCTCTGAGTGCTGGGATTACAGGCATACACCACCACTACACCAGGCAAATGTTTTAATATTTAAAACTGTGATATTTAAATTTTTTTTTTTTTGGTACCAGGGATTGAACTCAGGACCTTGCGCTTGTGAGGTAGGCGGCGAAACCACTGAGCTAAATCTGCAGCCCAATATTTAAATGTTTAAAACTGCTGAAAGGACTACAAGTGGAGATGTAGCTCAGGTGGTAGGAGTGTTTGCCTAACATTTTACAAGGCCCTGAGTTCAATCCACAGCACCACAGAAACAACAACAAAACCCTATGATAATCATAATTGGACTAGATAAACAGAATGAAGGCCCAGTTTATGTTATAGTTAAAAAAAAAAAAAAAAAAGACAACCCTCAAATTTTATGGGCTTCAAAGCCACAAAAGCCTGTTTTCCAGCCTGCTTCATGCCAGTCACTGCCCAGCAGGGGGCTCTGCTCAGCCCAGTTTCTCCAGGTCCCAGAAACTGAGCAGCCACTGCAGACAGCCAGGAAGAGTTGAGATTGCACCACTCCACTGACCCCTCTGATGGTGGACATGTTTCCTGTCTGCACCAACCAACACAGTGGCCCCTAGCCGCACATGGCTGTTGAACACTTCGGACGTGGCTAGTGAGAGTGAGAATTTTCTTTAATTATAATTAAGTGAATAATTTCATGTGACTAATGTCCTCCAGGATGGACAGCAGCATCAGTAATTAAAGACTCCAGCTCTGGGAACACAAGCATGCTGCTCCAAACTTCAGCAAGTCACAAGAGTCAGGAAGAACGCTCCTCAAGCTAGGCATGGTGGTGCATGCTTGGAAACTCAGCACTCTGAAAGGCTGAGGCAGGAGGATTCCAAGTTCAAGCCCAGCCTGGGCAACTTAGGCACTTAGCAAGAGCCTGTCTCAAAATTTAAAATAAAAAGCTAGGGATGTGGCTCAGCGGACAGGCCTTGGATTTAATCCTCAATACAAAAATGTAGGGAGCAGGGAAAGGGGATGTTACTAGAACCTCTGCAGTAAGTCCTAGTCTCCTTTGAGCCACGGCAGCACACAGTGAATTAACTTATTATACAGGAAAGGTAGAAAAATGAGACTTTGAGAAGAAGCGGAGCTTTGGGTCTGATCAGTGCTGCTCTGGGTGGCAAAGACGAAAGCCCCCAGTTTACTGTACCTTTTATTCAGTACATCAGGAGAAACAGATGTAACAAATGACTTGCAGAGAGTTCAGTACATCAAGATAAACAAGGAGTAACAATCTAAGAACAATGAGGAACTGACTAGATGAAGATTTTGTTCCTCCCAGAATGTCTTCAGCTGGTGTCATCTTGTCCTGGAGCATCACAGCATCACCGGATCATTGAGGTCTCAGTTGTGACCGGGGGCCAGAATGGAATTATGTCTCAAAATGCCATAGCTGGCCTGTAGGCAGGAGAACTAGGCCTAATCAAATGATTTTTCCCTAAAATTATGTAGCATTGCTCCTGACACAAACATACAAAACGTGTGGTCTTTAGTCGAGAAGAGAGCAAGCTGAAAATGTTGGCAAAAACATTAATGAATGCCACAATAAAAATGGACTTTAAGCATAAAAGCAGTGGAAGAAATCTGAAAGATTGTGCTTTAACTGCCTGACAGGTTACAATGTCACCATCCCGCCCCCCCGCAAAAAAAAAAAATCACAAAATTAAAGGGCTATCCAATGGTCTTTTATCTTATTATAAACAAACAGTTCATAAAAATTACTTTTAAGAAAAGACACAGTGGAAAAAATGAAAAGGGCAAGGAACATGAATGGCTATGGACCAATAGCTAATTGCTGTATAGTGAGAAGGTCATCGCACTTGGTAAACAGTGTGGTACCTCATGTTGGTCAGGACCATGGTGTGACGGGCTGTGTGCGCTGAAGAATGTCCACACTGGTGCTGAAGGGAGCCAGGTGGAAGCAGAGACCAACTGTGGTCGGTGGGAACAGTGAATATCGTAGTTTGGCAGTTCTGTGCATAGGAATCAAGCGTAGAGAAACAAATGATGAGAGAGGTACAACTTCTAGTGAAGTCTTATTTATAATATCAGAACTCCTGAAGACAACCAAAATGCTGGGCGTGGTGACACATGCCTGTGCTCCCAGGACTCAGGATGCTGAGGCAGGAGGATCACCACAAGTTCAAAGCCAGCCTGGGCTACATAATGAGTTCAAGGCCAGCCTGAGCTACATAGGAAACCCTGTCTCAAAAAAAAAAAAAGAAAGAAAAAAAAAAAAGACAACCAAATTGTTGATGAAATGACCTATCTTCGTCTAGCACTTTCTGGAAGCTGTTTCCTTATGCTGCCATTAAAAGGGGCATGGTCTGGCAGTGTAGCTTAGGAAAGTCCTTGCCTAGCTTATGTGAGGCACTGGGTTCCATCCCCAGCTCTGCAGAAAAGCCACGGGGAGGGATAAAAGAGTAAAGCTTAAAAAAAAAAAAAAAACCGCCGGGGATTTAGCTCAGTGGTTCCTCCAACTCCCTCGAAAACGGAAGGACCCAAGTTCGATCCCTGGTACCAAAAAACAAAACAAAACAAAACAAAAAAGAGTAACGCTTAAATTGGGGGGAAAACATCTCACAGAATCTAGGGGTTTGAAACTACATGACAGGACTGGAAGTGTACCTCAGTGGTAAAGCTTTCGCCCAGCATTCCCTGGGCCCTGGGCTCCATCCCCAGCACCACACACACACACACCTCATGAGGGCTGACCCTCAATTACATAAATAAGTAAATAAAAATGTATGTTGATATGTGGAAAAAGATGAAGGGATTAGGGTTAATAACTGCTAATTTTTTTCTTTTAAATATTTGTCTATATTTTTATAATGAGCATTATTGCTTTAAGATCAAGTCAGGTTATTAAGAGGTGAGAATGATGCTGACTTCTTTTCTAGAACTAGGAATCAAACCCAGGGTCTCATACATGCTAGGCAAGTGCCCTATCACTGAGCCACATCCCAATCCTGATGCTGACTTTTCACTTGTTAGAGCAGTGGGAAATACTCTGGTATTAAATTAGCTACTATCTCCTGGACATTCTTATCTCTTGCCATTTGTCAAAGAGTGGCTTTTAACCTAATGTAGAGTCCAGAGAGCTGGGCTGTCTCTCCTTCCTTAGGGGAATATTGGCAAGGCAGATGTAGGCTCTGGTCACCACTGGCCCTTCACTGTCACTAACACTTCCTCTCCCAGTTCACAGTCCTGCAGGATTCAAGGGTCTCTGGGGAAGGGCCCTTGCCTTTGCAGAGTTTTCAGGCTATTAAGGGCCTATAAATACATACAGCCGTATAAATACATAGTGACTTAATGCCAAGCCAGTCATGGTCCTCAGTCCTTTGAGCATCTTGCCACCTGCTCTCCAGTCCTGTTCTCCCCCCACCTCTCTGATAGTGGTTCCTTCCGATCCCCTCGGTTCTTTATCCTGCATCCATTTCTGATCTGGAAGTGATCCTGCCGACCTCAGAAGAGGGCCTGGTGTCCTGGCCAGGGCAGGGGCAGCGCATCCCTGTGCATCACACACGCTTTCAGAATGGCTGCATGAAGTTCTTTAGGGCAGGGTAGTGAGGACAGCCAACACAGGGAAGGCTTCTTGGAGCATTTAAAGATGCCTGTGGGGGTGGGGGAAGGAAGACATTCCATGGAGAGGAACAGCATCTCATGGATCTATGCCACACTGAGTCTGGAGTCTGTGCCACACAATGCTTGGGTTACAACAAGTGCTCAATAAATGTGTCCCTGAGTGTGGTAAGTGGTATTACTTCCACAAAGGGCATCAGACTGCAAAGGGCCTTCCTGCTTATGGCCCAGGGCGAGGGTTTAGGAGTTTGAGTTTGGGGCAGAAGGGGGCAACAGGGAAGGTGGAGCAGGAGACTGTGAAGATCTAAGTACCTTGGACTTCTGGGAAAGAGGTAAGAAGACTCAGGCAAAAGGCTGCTTCCTAACCCGTGAGGAGCCCACAGTAAATGTTGGTGCCCTGAAATGGAAGTCACTTTCAGGGGCCATTTCTGCAACAAAGAACAAGATTTGGAGCTCAGGTGGATAGAATAAGTAAGGCCTTGCCATTTCTTCTTAGAAACATGGAAGGAATTCTAGCAACCAGCTTGTCCTGCTCCCGGGCGTCGGAGAAGGGTCTGGGTGGCACCCTACCCAACATGAGCTCCTGTGGCAGAGGAAGGACAAGGCCTCAAGATGCCCTGTTGCCTCCCACAGGTCTCAGCAGGGCCCCAGCACCAGGCTGTGTCTCCAAGTGTGATTTCTGTCTCTGTGATGGAGGCATATCTGGAGCAAAGTATAGAGTTCACACCCATACTTCCCCTCCAAAGCAATAATTATTCATAGTTAAAAACAAAAAATCCAGCAGGTTTGTGAGCAGGAAGAAACTGTGAGTCCTGACCCATTTCCAGACAACATGGATGGTGGTATCAAGGCCCACATGAAGCAGAAAACTGCATCTCCTTTTAGCCTGGCTCTGAGCGGCTCCGGGCTGACACATGGAGTAACCACCACCTGCCAGGCCAGGCTGGGCACTGGGTGAGCACATTACATGCATTTTCTCATTAAATTCCTGCAGGACCCACTTTACACACAGGAGAACAGGCTCAGAGAATTTAACTTGTCCAGAGCCAGGGAGCTAAAAGAGCAGCTGTGTTGATGCCCAGCTCAGCAATTTGGGGTTCTAAAACCTAGCTCTTTTGTTTTTCTGGTAGATAATTTATTTTGTAATTAGAAGACATACGAGTGAACGTGATGTGATCAACAACAGAGTAAGAAGTACATATAATAGTATTGTTCTGTATGTCTTCAGCATAAACTTAAAAATTTTATTAGTACATGTTTGTGATACATGAGAATATATTCATCACGGCATACTGGTGCACATATATATTGCATCTTAATCCTTTTTTTTTTTTTTTTGGTACCAGGGATCGAACTCGGGTCCTTGTGCTTGCGAAGCAGGTGGCGAAACCACCGAGCTAAATTCCCGGCCCCATCTTGATCCTTTTTGCTTGCCTTCCTCTCCATTCTCTTCTAAATCCGCCTGTGTTTTGTTTACTGAGGTGGGGTCTCACTATGCAGCCTGGTTGGACCTCCAATTCAATATGTAGCCCAGGCAGGGCTCGAACTTGGGATCCTCCTGCCTCAGACTCCAGAGTGCTGAGATTACAGAAGTTGGGCACCATGCCCTGCCCAACCTGGCTCTTTATAATTTTTATAACTTACACGTGATTATTTATGCCATACATATTCATTTCCTGTGGCTGCTGTGCCATATACTACTTGAAACTTGGTGGCTTAAACAACAGAAATGTATTTTCTCACAGTTCTGGCAGCCAGAAGTCTGAAATGCAGGTTTGAGGGGGGTGCTCCCTGAGGGAGCTGGGGGTGGGGAGTCTTCTAGCTTCTGCATTCCTTGGCTCTGGCTCCACCACTCATTTCTGTCCCATGTGTCACACTGTCCCTTCTGTGTAAAGTCTGCCTCTGATCCCTCTTATAAGGATACACGTGATCGCATTTAGACTCCCCCAGTAACCCACTATAATCTCCCCCATTCCAGATCTTACATCTTTAAAAATCCCTTTTTATTTTTAAATTTAAAAAAAATTATTGGTATATGTTTGCATGACAAAAAAATCCTTTTTCTAATTTCTAAGTGATGTTTACAGGTCCCAGGAATTAGGACATGGCTATTTTAACTAACTCCTTCTCAGACTTTAACTGCATGGATGCAGGGCATTGTGGAAGCCAGAGAAATCAAAAGAGAAATGGACACACAGTCCCTGCCCTCTGGGACCTCATGCTTATTCCTGTGACCTTTGCTACCTGCCCACGTGCCCTTGTGACAATGGTAAAGGTTCTGAGTTTACATCATTACCTCCCCAACTCAGCCCTGTTCCCCCTACAGGCTGGGCTCCTCCACCTGGGCTTCCTGTAGGAGTTGCCACTGTCACTGCAGCTTCTGGAGGACAGGAAGAAGTGGAATGGGGAGGAGACAGGAGCAAGGGCCCCCAGGCAGAAGGAGACAGGAGATGTTGGAATACAAGGCCCAGAGAGAGGAAAGGTCCTGCACCTGCCAGCACAGGCAGTAGGACCCATGAGGTTTTTTTCCACAGAGGAGGGTCCTAACAGAGGTTTTGTTTCTTCCTGGAGAATGGGTGGGAATCCCAGCTGGCCCTTCCATGTATGTTTCTCAGCATTTTCCCAGCCTGCTGGGACTCAAAGCTCATCCGGAGGCCAAGGAGGGCAGAAAGGAAGCTCTCAGCCTTCTTCCTCACCTCTATCAACAGGACCTCTTGCTTTCCTGGGGCAGCCCCCTCTGCCATGCAGTACCCAGCCCTCCATGGGCCCCCTACGTGGAGCTGCACTTCTCACTCCATCCTAGTCCCACTTTTAAGGACCCAAAAACTGCAAATGGCACTATCTGCAAGGCCCTGTGCTCAGCAAGTCCTTCTGGGATCCCAGAGTCTAGGACCTCTACACAGATCACGTTGAGTCATTCAGCAAGGACAGGGAGCCTGAGGCTCCTCCCCTTGCCCCCCAGCATGCCCTATACACATAGGTGCTCAATAAAAAGCATGTGACAAACCGAGAGAACATGCTTGTGATGTGCTATGCTGGTCCCAGCAGCACAGTGGTGAACAAGAGAACCAGTGCCAAACCCACCTCTGAAGGGAGACAGGCTATTAGGCCCTCACCCAACAGAGGTGCACCTGCAAAAGGACCCACAAGGGGGCGCCAGGGTCAGGGGGCTCGCCTGTGGAAGGGACTCTAATTTTGCACGATCTTGTCTTGGGGGAGAACTGTAAATCTGGCCGTGGGCTTCAGGCTGGATTCCCATTTGTTCACACTCAGGTCTGAACCCTCACTTCCGCCAGCTGAGGTGAGTGAGGGCTCATCTTCTCTGTCAGCTGTCTTGGGAGGACTTGTTACCAGGGAGAGCTCTGAGAGCCGTTTATTTCCCTCAGCTCCCACCAGGGGGCAGACCCCGCTCCATCTTCTTTCTGTGCTGCTGTATTGGGCAGAGAAACTGGGCAAGATGGGACCCTGGAGGGAACCCGTATCAGGGTCGTTGGGCAGGCACAGCCCCAGCTCCCACTCCTCTCTGCCTGGGCTTTGCTGGTCTCCAGCACTCAGCCTCTCTCCCCTCCCCTCTTATTCTCCACTTCCACCCACAGTTCATGGGCAGGTGGAAGGGAAGAACATCCAGGCCCTTTGCATGCATTTACTCTAATCCTCAGTGACAGATATTACAATCCCCATTGTGCAGACAGGAAACTGAGACTCAAAAATGCCAGCATGTTGCCGAGGGGCACCCGACCAGCGAAGAAGCCCACACTCTTCACAGAACACCGTGCCACCCTGTGTCCATGGCTTCCCCTGCCCTCTTTTCGTGGTCTGTCTGATCTTCGAAGCCTCTCTTCCCAGGAGGTTCTGCCTTACCTGGCTCCAGGAAAAGGGCAAATAAGACCAGGCTCACCCCTGGGCAGGACTGCAGAGAAGGCCCCTGCACAGGAAGTACATCCAGTGTTCCAGGGCGAGCAGGAGGACCGCAGAGTGGAAGCCGAGGCAGGGAGAGGGGAGGCCTCACAGTCCTCGTGCAGAACTGTGCCCACCCCCGTGCACTCCCTGTTTGCGGTATTCCATGGCTTCGGCTCCTGCAGGCAATAGGGGAGGCATCTGCTCTGGGCAGGGGCTCCTCTGGGCCCACTTGTGGCCAGAGATGAAGAAGAGGAGATGATTAAGATGTTTCTGGCCCTGCAGGGTCTCCCAGCCTGGTGGGGGAGATGGGCACTCGGGCAGAGAATCACAAAACTGGGTAGGTAGCAGGAGGAAGGGCCCAAAACACAGAGTAGGAGGCGAGGGGAGGAGGATACCAGGAAAGGCTTCCTGGTGGAGGCCACCTGTCTGGGAGCGGATCGCCTGAGCAGGGGTGGGCTGGGCCAAGGCCTATTGATGGCTTGGGGAGGACTATCCCCACCGGGGCCTGTGGTGCTGAGCAAGGAAAGGAGAGGAGGGGCGCGCTGGCCCAGGACCCAGCTCGAGAGCTGCAGCTGAGGCTCCTGGGACACTACTGGGAGGAGGAGGCTCGGGTCAGGCACTGCCACCAGCACTCGGGGCAGAGCTTCTGTCCCAGGCCCTGAGCTCCAGGTGCAGAGCTGCAAGAAAGGGGGCCTCCCCAAAGTGTGGGCGTCCCTGGGCCCTCATCCGGAGGCCTAATGGAAGGCCTCGCTTTTCCTTTCTCCTGCTGGCCTAGTTTTCCCTCCCTGCACCTCGCACGCCCCGTGCCCTGAGCTGGCCACAAGAGTGCTGTGGAGAGGTCTCTGGGACCTAACCCCAGAGTCACGGCGGGCTACTGCCCGGAGACTGCTTTTCGGGGAAGCAGAGCAGACCAAGAGCAGAGTCCAGACTCGTGGATGTGTAGGTAGGAACGCCGGTCCGGCTCTCACAAGCAGTGTGGCCTAGCGTTAAGTAATCCAGCGTCTCCCTTCCGGCTTCCTCAGAGGTGAAGGTCATCAAACCCGGGAAGCTGCTGAGCGCTTGGTAAAGGACAGGTGCCAACAAAGGGAGGGTGGTGACCGCAAGGTCCAGGGACTGAGGACGGATGGAGGGCGCGGGTGGTCCCGGGCTCAGGGCTGCGAAGGACCGGTCCCCCGGGAGAGTGGGGCCTGGGGCGGCTCCCGATTCCGGGCACCAGCTGCGCTTGGCGGCGCGCAGGCGCCCACACTCCCGGCTGGGCAGGGGGAGGGGCGAGCGCGGTCACGCGGAGGGAAACTGAGTCCGCGGGGGGGGGGC